TCACAGGAAATAGGTGCCTTTCAAGGCAGGCCAGAAAAATTTACAGCGTTATAGTTGGGTTTTTACGAAACGAACATTTTTGTGGAGTCTTTCATTTCGCATAAAAGTGGGTCAAGAGCCGACGGCTGATTTCTTTTTTCATCTCAAACGAAGAAAAATGCCTCATCGACTGCGTCAACCTGAACATAGCACTAGCCCCAAACGACGGTAGAACAAAAGAAGTAAACTCTCGTTTTCCGGCAAGATCGACCTAAGAATCTTTTCGCCTTGAACTCCTATACATAAGGAAAGCTATTGAAATCCAGTTACTCTATACACAAGCAAATTTCCACTTACAGTTAAAAACTATTACGTTGCTCATATTCCTAGTCAGTAGTGCTTAAGCGATAATTTTAGGCATCACATAGAATGGTAACGGACTAATAGTTGAATATCACCATGATAAAATGGCCAAAGCTCATATTTACAATCTACATGATATAAATCTTAAAATATAAATCAAAGATATAAAAAACCCGATGATGTGGCCTTTTGTTTAATCTCATTCTTGTGTGTTCGCAACTTGGTCTGTGCAACAGAAATTTCTACGGCATCGCGGTAGGCACCGCCATTGAGAGGCGCCATCTTTAGTGGAGAGCTACAACTTTTCATCGTGACAATTAAAGGCAATCTTGTAGCATCTCGTCTTCCTTGTGTTCCAGCATCTAGAACTACCCACAAGAGGGTATCAGGAAGCAAATGTAGGAAAATCAACAAATTTGGAAGCAGGCCTGAAGCCAACGATGAGGCATAGATGAAATAAGTGGAAAAATAGCTAGTTCATCCATTTCATACTTAACACTTAACAATCTACAACAGGAATGCAGGCAAGCAGATACCTGTTGGCGATCACGTCTTCCATATACACCCCGTCTTCCCGCTGCCGTGTAATGTCCTGTACCATAGACTGCTGCCTCGGCACATCTGCCCCGTTGGCGCCAGTGCTGCGTTGCTGGCACCTCTCGAGAAAGGCAAAGCCCAGCTTGGGCATCGAGTTGGCGCAATTGGCCAGCTCCTTGACCCAACTTCCCCGAGGAGGAGGCTGGGGCCTCATTGGACCCGCCGCGATGAGAGCCATCTGCCGGGGATGCCTGAATTCAGTTGCAGATGCCAATTCCGGTGCAGGCTTGAGCACCAGTGCCCGCCCTCGAGCAGCAACTGGCATGCAGTCGACTGCGGCTGTCGCACCAAAGTGATGACCATAGCCACCGGGATCCAGCAAGCCGGAGGGCACCGCGGGATGCGAGTGATGCTGCCTGACTGTCCCATACAGTGGGGCTGCATAATACTCGGGCGAACTCGAGATAGGCGGCTGAGGAGGTATAGCTTTACCAGCATAAGTGACCGGAAAGGACGGAGCAGAAAGCGCGGGAAAAACTTTTGCAAAATGTGAGTATGTCTGGCCAGGTTTCGCGGTATGGCCTATCGTTGCAGCGGAGACATGTGGAGCTAGGGCTGGATCATGAAAGCCTGGCGCCTGGAAAGAAACATGAAAAGAAGCGCAAGGCATCGAGGCCAGAATGTCAAAAATCGGTCAAAAATCGGTTTTAGCCCAACATTATTGTTGGCTATTTGGTGCCGGCACACCCTACACTTCGTATATTGGCACAATCTAAAACCGAAGAAGGGTTGCTGTTGGCTTGTGGCTGTTAGATTGGCAAATTAATCACATTCGATTTTTGAAAGTATTATTTCTATATTTTGTATTCTTGACTCACATGATTTTCCACTAAAAACGAAGAGGTGTCTTATAAAAGTATCTTATTATTTGATTAAATAATAACTTTTTTAAAACATTTCTTCATCAGAATAAAAAATAAACTTATGAAATCTTTTTTTCGTATTGGAGTAGAGTTTAGAGACTACCAGTAAATCAGCAATATGAGATGTATTCACCCTATTTCGTCTAAGGTGATGAAGGACTGGTTGAAGAATTTTCCCACAATAATATGAGTTGAGCTGACGTTTACATTGAATTTTACATAGCCTTGCTTTTCCTCGACGAAAACAACTTTTGGGAAAGCAAGGCTATGTGAAATTCAATGGAAAAGTCAGTTCAACTTATATCATTATGGGAATATTCTTCTGCCAGTCCTTCATCACCTTAGACGAAATAGGGTGAATACATATTATAGGAAATCTTTGTCCAAAATTTTTAATTAAGAGCACTTCTTTAAGCTACACTCGATGAGTGATACATTATACAGCATAGTGTTTCATCAGGTAAGAATCGTTATTATAGTCTCGAAAATCTACTTACAAAGCAAAAATGAGTAATGCAGTCGATTTAAATGGCAAATACAACTTTGCTCTATCGGCAATCCCACCACAAAATGTGATTTGGGAAACTGCCTGGCCTTCCTTGAAATTCACACCAGCCCTTTTATCAAATGACATTCGTGGCAATGTGGTTTAGTGATTAAGATGTCGAGATTATATGCTGCACTACCACAACCTTGGTTCAAGTTCCACTGGGTGTGCTGATGAGATTGAATGAGAATACCTTTTGGGAAGTAAGGATGCTTGAAATTGAATGGAAACGCAATATCTTCTCACATCATTGCTGGAGAATTCAATTACAAGCCTCCTTATCACTTTAAACAAAATAAGCTGATACATCTTATAGTCACAATAATAACTTAATAAGTGTAGAATTATAATTAGCCCATTGAATAATAGGCAGAAGTCATCCACAGAAGCAGTGAAAAATAAGATAGTTCGGAAAGTGATCAACCTGTCCAAAATACTACTATCGAAGAAGCTCAATCTAGAAGTTTTAATCATTCTTTGCAAACTATTAAGAACTTTACTGAAGAGATTTTGATAAATGTTAGTAATTTTACTAACAGATAAGTGGAAGAAACTAGAAATGCCATTGAATATAATTTTTTCTTCTAAATGATGAATATATATATTATTATATGGGTTAATAATATCACTAAGAAAATTGTACAATGCGAATAAATAGCCATGAGGGCAGACAAAGGAGGAGCAATTGTAGTTATGGATAGGGCAGATAATACAGAAAAGATGATGCAGGCTTTGGTCGATTCCAGCCAAGGGACCCACAAAAACACCTTGCATTAGTAATGGAGATGCTAGGTTTCCGAATGCATATGATCTGCTCAAACTTCACAAGGAAGGGGTGCCACCTAGGTTCATTATGAACCAAAAGGGTTGTGCGATGCATAAAATATCACGATTTATTTGTGGCTAATTTAGCCAAATCTCAGGTTTTCGGCAATTTTCAATAAAGAAAATTTATGCCTCGTTTCAAAGTAGATTTAAGAGACTCACGTAATGTATAAAGAATTCTTATGATTCTATTAAGTTACTAGATAAGCAAATAATAGAACGAGAAGATTTGCTTGTAAGTTTTGGTGTAGAATCGATGTACGCGAATATACCGACAAGTAGGATTAACAATAGCTCAACAGCCAGATTGTATATTGGGAAACAAGATAAGTAAGTAGTCAATCATGAAAGAGTCAAACGTATTAATGAAAAGTACATATTTTATCTCTAATTATAAATTATATGAGCAAACTATCTCCAGCTATTGTTAATATATATTTAGCTGATTTAGAAAACCGGCTTTTTCGAGAAGCACTCCTAGT